ATGACCGTTGGAAAGTACAACAACATGACCGTTTCCCAAAATGACATGTATGAGCATCGGCAAGTACCAACCAGCCCTAAACCACTTGGTTAGTTTTAGGAAAAGGTTTTTATGGGTTCAATATTTCCGTTAAGCAAGTTATGTGATAGGACTCATGCTGACCACGCTGCATAATGAGTATTTTTACTTTTGGTATTTTAAGTACATTTGCTGATAATACTTTGATGCTTTAGTCAAATTTTGAATGCAGGACTTTAACTTGTAGCAGTAATTCTACACTGAGGTATTACTTTTAAAGTAAACATCTATAAACTGATTATATGTTTTGTGTGAATGAATGACATTTGTATTATTAATAATAAAGTACCTTTCTGTAGGTATCGACTGTGCAACTGAAGATATTTTCTTTAATAACTTTTGTTTGATTTTAATTTTGACACAAATGATTCCTGTAGAGATATTCAGCATATCGGAGCGCTTGTGAGTTAAATCTTGATCTGTAAACTACAGCTAGCCAGATGCTGTGCATCTCTGAGAAATAGTGGAGTAAATGTATGAAGTAACATGTTTACTTTGAACTGAATGGAAACCAAAGGGTGTCTGACAGGATGGATACACATTAAAACAGTCTAAAACACACACAGAACCTTTTTAGGATGTAAACTACTGCCGCTCTGGTGACAGTGTAGTATTACAGTGAGTATTAATGTGGTACCTGTATTATGTGACATCTCATTCAGACTAATGGCTGATGCAGCACAGTCGACTGCTGCTTTTTCCAAACAGTACCAATCTCTGTGAGTTAACTGTTGCTCTTCTGAGGCTGTGACCCAGTTCTCTCACTGACATTTCTTCCACTTCAACAATAAATAAACACAAAGTTTTTATCTGCGAGTGGTCTCGGCTCTGGCTCCCAGCCGAGCACATAGCCGAGCAGTTCTGCAGCACCCAGCACAAAGAAACAGCTACTGAACATAAGAAAAGGCGGCTGCAGCCCCATTCTGCTGCTGTGAATGGGAGAAAAATGTATTGTTCAGCTGGAAGTTGTCATGCAGAGATAATGTGCTGACATAATAATGATTCACTGTGTTTTTGTGTGTGTCAGAAACATGCAGCGTAGCACGGAGGAGGCAGCCAGTGCTGAAGGATATCTCATGATTTTGCACCCTTTTGTTTGGTAGATTTCTTTGAAGTTGCTGCAAAGAATTAAAAAGGAGAAGAATAAAAAAGTCAGGCAGCATGTGATTAGATTTCTAAAAGCTGAAAAGCAATAATTATCAGATGGTTACAGGCCTGAGGAGCTCCACAAGCTAACATTTAACAATTATGTTTGATTTCTCTGTGTATTATTACCAACATGACAGGAAAATAAACTATTCGCGAGCACTTCAGCAACAAACAAGAGGTGTGATGTATTAAATGAGTGTAGCAGCACTGAATAAACACCAAGATCATAAGAAACGTCCATCAAATATAGAATTAGCGCATGAGAAGACCAAACAAAATTTAAGCAACTGCAAAAACTTCTCTTAAGGTTAAAAGGTCATCTTGAAATGATTCCTCAATTCATCCATTTGACAGAAAATGTAATTATTAAATTATTAAATATTAAAATGTATACAACAATGTTTATAAAAGGGTAAAAAATGGTTCCAGCTTCTAAAATGGGAATATTTGCTGGGTTTATTAGTTTTCTAATAAAGAGAATATCTGATAAATATAAATTATCTTTGGGTTTACAACAATAATAAAACATCCATTAATCCAGAAATATAATCAGATGACCCAAGAATAAAATAATTGATCACAGAAAAAGTAAATTACAAATAAATACACGTGCAT